CCCTCTTCTTGTTTGCAGCTTGCAATGAGTGCCGGAACAACGCGATCGAGGTACGGTGCAAATTCTTCCTCGAATACGCGGGCCATGACACCAAAGATTAGGAAACTGCACTCGCGAAGACGGGCAGAATCCAATGACATCCCTTCAAATGCATTGTTCATGACTGGCTCAAAGTAAGGGCGGAAGTGCTCTCGCCCGACAGCGTCGGCAAGAGTTCCTACAGTGTCCATGGCAATACCTCGGAGCTCCTGTTCGCCCCCTTCGCCACGGAGTACGAGGAACGGTTGTAGGCGTTGCATAGTAGGCTGAAAGTAAGGCAAGAAGCTGAGCTTAGCAGCATGCGCAGCAGATCCAATTGCCCCAGTGACAATGCCCTTCACAGAGTTGGGAGCGGTGTCAAGCAATCCAGAGAGACGCTCCATGAGCTGCGGGAGGTATTGAGCGATTGTGTCGCCAAGAATTTCAAGGAAATCATCAAGAGCAGTGCAAGCAGCCCCTTGGGTTTCAGAATTGTTGATCATGTCGAGGAGAATGGGAAGGATCGTACTGTGGCGACCCACTACTTCCTCTTCGAGCCATTCACAAGTGCACCCGAGAGCAGATAATGCGGCTTTCCGCACAACAGGGTGGGGATCGGCAAAGCCGGCGTCGATGAGTGGCCAGAGTTGGCGCATATGAGGACGAATGAATTCGGAGCAACCCTCAAGAGTAACCGCAAAAGCCGTAAGGGCCGCCTTGCGCTGACCAGGATCAGAGGATGCCATGTATTGTGTGACAATCGAGTGAAGAGTGGGGAACACTTGAGAGGGAGGTAGCGATGTCGCAAGTTCATCGATGACGCGGAATGCGGTCTACAAGTATAGCCAAGTTGGATGTTTGCATGTTTAAGTAAATAGCAAAGGCTTACTCTCGATGGGCATTCGTCGTCAGCATCGTCAGTGTCTTCTTCTGTTCCAATGGGCATTAAACCCTCGAGAATAGGCTTCGCAAGATTGAGGCTCTGAATCCTATGCTTTTTGCTACGACCGGGTTAGTGGAAATACGATTCGAGATGTTTGCAGGCATACTATTTAACGGTCCAAGTCAACGAGTTGAGCGACATGATACGCAATGAAGTTTCGTAGGATTTGTTGCCTCCACAGCGCAAGAAAAACTCAACCATCTGGGGCATATGCTTGGAAAGCAGTGGAGTTTCCTAATACGGCGAGGTTAGTGCAGGTAAGTGATGGCTATGCTGGACACTCACCAGAATTAGCAAAGTCTCAAATACATCAAAAACGTTTCGTGCGCCCTCCTCGTTGCTGTTTTCGAGGCAATCAGCAAGAACATTAATCATCCCGGGTATAAGAGTTTGAAATTCTTTCTGTGTACCAAGTCAGTACCGGTAGGGTGTAGGGCAGCAGACTTACAATCTCAGGTTTCTGGTCAGAGTCAATATATTGTGCAACTTGTCCCAAACATCTAACGGCCGTGACGCGAACTTCCGCACTCTCCGGATCGCGGATGAGATTCTCGAAGAGAGTAAAGAATGTAGGGAGGCGCTTAGAAACCTCGTCCATGAGGTTGTCTAGGATGGTGAACAGCACGTAAACACCAACTTCCCGATGGGCCGCAACACTAGCAACGCATGACGCCTCAACCCAAGGGATTAGCTCGCGCCAAGTAACCTGCTCAGTGCCCCCTTGAAGCTCATATTGTGCAATTGCCGCAATCACACGAGCAATCGTGTGGCGAACGATAGACGTGGGCTCCTCGAGAATGATTTGAGTAATCCGGGCCTTGATCGCGTTCCTAATATTCTGGGGTACATTCACCCAGAGCTGACCTTGGTGTTGATTGACGCGTTTCCGTAGCTCAACCGCGGCAAGTTGGCGAATCTACGCGTCATAAATCAGTATACGACCCATTTCAGCAGTCCCGACGCGTACATTTTGCTCCGGGGAGGAAACAATTATTTCAAATAAGGCTGGGATACAATCTGAACTCGTCCAGTAGTTTTTAGCTAAAGTAGCGGTCGCCTAGAGCACTTATTAGGAGATATCAAATTTTAACATACGCATAAACATACGGCTTTAATAGCGTTTGTGTCGGGAGCAGAAGTTTGCACCAAGAGATCATGAAGATTTTTGATGTATGTGGGCTGAGGGACAGGCAATCAGCGCAAGCCCTAACCCATCCGTCACCCGCGAACGTACATCCATTGTTTATGAGAGTACCGTGCTAATAGAAAGGATAATCGTCGCAGGAACGCGCCTGGACTTGAACCGGACGTAAGGAGACGCGGTGGATGAATTCAGACCAAATTTTATGCACGGGCCACTTTTGAGGGTTCATGTCACGTGACAGGAAGCCACTGTCAGCCAGCCACACCTTCAAGCAACCCCCAGCGAAACATGAGTAGAGCTCTATGCGACGCAGGTGATCCAATACGGCTGCAATAACCTCCTATGTAATCGCTGAAAACATCGAGTCAGCTTATGGTGGATTGAACTCGGATAATTTTAATTTTTTGATATATTATCGATAGGCTACGAGGCATAAACCAGATAAATGCTCCCTGAATCCTAGCCATGTAGGCTTATATATACTCACTTCACGCCTTTGTGCTTTTTTTTATCTTGCAGTCCTCGTTGTACTAGCTGTAGTAGCCGATCATATGACACCAAACCTGCCTATATGCATACCACTGCCCTAGAACAAGCACCAACAAGCCCAGTTCAGACCGTGAACAGTTGCCATAGGCTTATGTAGCTCAATTGTTACTTTTCTGCCCAACTATTTGTATATACTTACCAACGGGGTCCGAACCCTCCCCTCCCCCCAACTCCTCCGAGTACACGCATCCCCACTAAGAAATCTGGCAGTACATTGTATACCACACGTATGAGAGAATCTGAACTACTCTATATATCTATACAAGCAGCAGCAGTCCGGGTTCCGCAAAGGCAGAGTATGTATTGAGACAGGCGAACAATTTGCAATTTGCATACCAAACCAGCCGGACCCCCTCCAATCTTGTTTGGATTGTAGCTCCGCCATTTCTGAAGCTATCACCTTGTGACTACCTGTGTGCGGGATATTATATTCCGGGCTGCGTGTGAGTGGCGCGCTAAATCACCTTTATCGTGGTATACGATTTAATCAACAGGCTTCGAACACCGGGAACATGTGAGGAATTAGCCTACGAAGAAGGGGGAGTATAACCAGTTCACCTGATAGACTCGAGGCTGAGATACTGGGGCTCAGATTCAGCCTGCTTTACTAGATTGCTCGTCTCAGTTTTGCTGGAGTCGTCTTGACATAGTGGGAGTGCTCATGTTCTTAAGCGCTCAGCTTCATTAACATCACGCGGATTAGACAACGTCTCGCTCGATTCGTAACCCTGCCTGATACGCCCGTGTCGTGCGACCTAGCATTAACTAGCCCGATACACGTGGCGGTACGCGTGCTAATAGCTACATTAATGCTGGCAGGTTCAAATGGATCCCCGCTTAGGACCGATAGCAAAAAAATGACCACTACCCGAGTTGAACGGATGACCTTGTGGAATGTCTAGGTTTACATAAGCTGGAATCACACGCTCTACCACTGAGCTAAGCGGTCTTGCTAGCTGCATCCTTAAGCGGTGATATTGTAGTACGTTATAAGTCCCTGGACTACAGGTATCACTTATCCACGAAACATTCTTTTTTCTTCTCATCTACTATGTTTCTTTCTTCGCCTATTATCTATATAATGCATAGCTTCAATCGAAAATAGATACTCGATTATAGAAACAAAAGGGATACCGCAAGGAGACGCATATACACGGTGAAACCTTGCTCAAAATCCAAACAAACTAGCGTGGATTCACTGAAACAGCCAACTATTCGCGAAACATGAAGTCAGGA